ATATTTTTAAGTGTTGCCTTCCCTGACAGAATGTAAAGTCCTTTAGGACAGGGACTATTTTCATTCTTATCTTTTGTATTCCCACTCAACACAATGCCTGCCATGTAAGAAATGCTTAATAAATGCTGTGGATTGATTGATGGAGTTCAAATTTTGGTGTGAAAATCCTCTCTGTTCTTCATGCACATCTCTGACTCCTTTTGTTTTTTGTTGTCTGATCCCAAAATTAATAATAATAATAATAATAATAATAATGAGGAGGAGGAGGAGGAAGAAGAGAACTGACATTAATATAGCACTTGAAGGTTTGCAAAGCACTTTGTATATATTATTTCATTTGATTCTCACAACAACCCTATTAGAGAGGTGCTACTATAAATCTCCATTTTACAGATGAGGAAAATGCAGCTCAGAGGCTAGTAATATGCCTAGGGGCAAATAGCTACATATATTTTTAATTGATTGATTAATTTTTAGTTTTCAACATTCACTTTTATAAGATTCTGAGTTCTAAATTTTCCCCCTCTTCCTTCCTCTCTCTCCAAGACAGCAAACAATCTGATATAGGCTATACATGTACAATCATATTAAACATATTTCCCATTAATCATGTTGTGAAAGAATAATCAAAGTAAAAGAGAAAAACCATGAGAAAGAAAAAAAACAACAAAAAAAGAGAAATAGTTCACTTCAATCTGCATTCAGACTCCATAGTTCTTTTTTCCATCACGAGACTTTTGGAAGGCAAATAGCTATATTAAGAGGCAAGATTTGAACTTGGATCTTCCCAATTCCAAATCTAGCACTCAAGCCACTAAACTACTTAATTGCCTCAAAAATCACTTGCTAAGCTCTTTTTGTGGTGCCCAAGAATTGGAAATTGAGGGGATGCCCTTCAATTGGGTAATGCTTGAACAAGTTGTGGTATATAAATATAATGGAATACTACTGTTACATAAGAAATAATGAGCAAGCAGACTTCAGAAAAACCTAGAAAGACTTACATGAACTGATGCTAAGTGAAGTGAGCAGAATGAGGAGAACATTGTACACAGTAACAGCAACACTGTTCGATGACTAACTTTGATAGATTAACCTCTTCTTAGTAATGCAAGGATCTAGGACAACTCCAAAAGACTCATGATGGAAAATGTTATCCACATCCAGAAAAAGAACTATGGAGTCTGAATGCAGATCAAAGCATACTATTTGCTCTCTCTTTTTTTTCTTCTTTCTCGTGGTTCCTCCCATTGGTTCTAATTCCTCTTCACAACATGATTAATGTGAAAATATGTTTAATATGAATGTATATGTAGAGCCTATTTCAGATTGCATGCCATCTTGGGATGGAGGGAGGGGGAGAAAATTTGGAACTCAAAATCTTATGGAAGTGAACATTGAAAACTAAAAATAAATAAATTAATATTTTAAAAAATAATAAACATTTTAAAAATCACTTGCTAAGAAAGCTTAGATAATCAGGTTATTGCCAGATGCAAAGAGGACAAAATTCAAACCCCCAAAAGTAGGCACTTTCTGGTTGATCTGAGGAACAATCAGCCTGTGAGGTATTTTATCATCCTTACCCACTCTAACATAAAATGACCATCAGTGGAAGCAGGGTGATAGATGTGAAACTATTTCACCCCATTGGGCAAGATACTTGAGCACAGGTTTCATAATGTGTAATTCCTTCCCCACTCTAATCTCTAGATTCTTTCAAACTTCCTGCTAGGAAAGGTACAAATAGATAGACAGCAACAGGACCAGAACAGATCAGACCAGTTTCCAAGTCACAGAGGGAAACAGATGAGGCCCAGGAATTGTAAATTCGTACACCAAGCCCCTGTACCTCAACAATCCCTAGATAAGTCCTCATACAGTCACTGATCAGGAGACCAGCTTAGTTTAAATGAGGCTTCTCACCATAATGTTCTCAAAGCCATCATGACCTTAACTGTGGTTAGAGGAAGTAGCTGGAACTCGCCAGAAGAGCCCACTAAACCATTTCTAGTAGCTCTCTAGACCCCTTAATCACTGAATAGGCACTGCCTCAGTCAAACTGAGACCTGTTAAAGACCTAAGCTTGAAAAGGCCAAGTCTCCCACTGCATCCTGGGTCATCTCCACATCCTTATCTGGCCTCTGGACCCAGCTGGCTCTGGAGGTGAAAGTGAGGCTGTTGACTTTGCACAGCCCTCCCTCTCTTAAATCTAATTCCCTTGCATGTCATTGCATCGTCTCCCTGATGTCATGGTCCACTTTGAGAACGAAGGACAAACAAACAGCAAACCCACAAGAAAACAGGCAGCATGTGATAATTGGCTACACCCCTCTGAATTTGCCAGAGAGTCAAGGAGAGAGAAATGAACAAAACCAGAGTGTAGGTTTTATCTGCTTTAACTAATCACAGCACAGATTATTTTCCCTTTTCTTATCTTTCCAGATAGGGGTTCACTCCCTCTAATTCTTTATTCCTAATTCTTAATTCTTCCTTTAATTCTCTACTTCCATTGGTGTCTGCAGGACACTCTCATTTAGCCAGCATTGCAAACTCAAGATGATCTGTGCTTGCCTTTCCCTTACCCCTCACATCTATATTCTTATTTTCCTACCCTTTCTATTTCTCATGTCTATCTCCTCCTTTCAATTGCCCCTGCAACCAGCCTTCTTCTGGCCTTCATCTTTTCTTACCTAAATTATTGTAATAGATATTTAACTGGCCTTTCTGCCTCCTGGCAATGCTGTCTCTAACTTTGCCCTTCACACAGTTGCCTAAGTAATCTTCCTAATGCAATACCTTAATGTAGCTGCTCTATTAAATTTTTTAATGACCCCTATCACCTACTAAGTATAAACTCTAGAATTTAAGGTCCTCCACAGCCTCACTCCAAGCTATCTTTCCATGCTTATCTCCATACTATCCCCAGTCATATATTCCACATTGTAGCCAAACTGTCTTATCCTCCATTCTCATTCTAACCACTTTGTACAAACCTATTCTCCACTTTCTATTTCTCCAAGCCCTTTACTTCCTTCAAGGCCCAATTTGGATGTCACCTCTTCCATTATTCCTTTACTTACCTTCCCAGGTGAAAAATAACTCCTCCTTCCCCAAAATTTTTCACACTACTTTGCCTGACCTTCTCCCCTTGCACTCATCTCAAAGTCCTTTGTGTGATACTTATCTGTGTGCATGTTTTTTCTCCCTATTAGACCAAAAACTCCCTGAGGGCAAGGTCCTATCAACAGTTCCTGGCACATAATACAGTTATCCCTTCCCCATCTTGGGGTTAGGGGCACAATGATTGGGAAAATTTGTGTAAAAATTTTTGGCCCTCCCTTTGTACCGGAGAAGTCTGAATTTTTTCTTTTTCTTTTATGACATGTTTCCGTACTTTATTGTAAAATTTGGGTTTATATTATACAAATACTATACATATATTTTATGCATTTCTGCGTTTCTAAACGTTTTCTGTGTCATCTATTGGTCTTCGTGTGTCACCTGCGGTTTACACAAAACTCCCTCAAAAATTCCAATTTAATTTCTTATGTTGACTCATGATATATCGAAATCTTGATGGCGAAAGTCTCAATGTGGAAGAGATAACTGTAGACACTTAAGTGTTAAGCTGAATCACAGGAATTTGTTTTAAGAGTTCTGTTTTTTCTTGTTTTCTTTTCCAGAGAGGGGAAAGTAGGAGAGAAAGAAATTAAATGCTTATTAATCGAAAAAATAAAATTTAATTTAAAAAACAATTTCATCACATAAAATGTTGGATATTTCCCAGTATACTTTCCCATGTTAATTCATATTATAGTTATTATGTGTGTGTGAGAGGGGGGAGGAGAAAGGGGGAGAGAGAGAGAGAGACAGAGAGAAACAGAGAGAGAGACAGAGAGAGAGAGAGACAGAGAAAGAGAGAGAAATGAGAAGTGACAACAAATATTTCTTGAAAGACTGAATTGAGATTTGAATCAGAGGACAATCCTGGCTCATTGTAGGCAAAAGTAGCAAATGCACTAAATAGAGGAGTCTCCATTTTAGCCTGTTGCCTTTGGGGAGGTGCCTCTGGAAGAGTAAGGTGGAGAAGACACCTGACCCACAAGGTCTTAGCTATATTGGCAATACTATTGGGAAGGCTGTCACCAGAAAGCAGCTTTTTGAACTGTATTTAAGCTACCAGTGCTTTCTGGAGAGGACCAGAGATAATGTTTTTCCCCATTCAGTGAGCATTTAAGTGTTCAGTGTGAATAAGGCACCATACTAGGTCCTGGGAATATCAAGACAAAAAAAAATGACCAAGTCCCTGTCTTCAAGGACCTTACATTCTACTAGGGAGGAAATAGTTTGTTGACAGATAAATTAATACAAGATATGGACAAAGTAAATACAAAGCAATTTAGATGGGGGGCAGGGGTTAGCAACTAAAGGGGATCAGGAAAGACCTTGTATATGAGGTGCTTCTTAAGCTGAGACCTGAAGGGAGCTAGGGTGGATAGAGATGAAGATGAAGTGTTTTCCAAGCACTGGAGGGAGTTGGGGGGAAGAGAGAACTACACAAGGACAGATGAATGTTTGGGGGCAACTGAAATGCAGAGTTGGAGACTCATAAAGCAGAGTTACTGGTTAAACCTTTTGGAACTGGTTTATGCAGCGCCTTTAGAAATTTCACACTGCTGAAGTCAGAGAAGCTAGTTATTAATATTGTCGTCAGTGTTAGGAGTAGGATGTGAATTTTCAGTGGAGACAGGAAAGTCTTGGGGGGATGACAGTGGACAGCAGGCCAGCTAGAATTCTTTATCTACCAACCAAACCAAACCATTCACCTCAATAACGAAAGAACAGTACTGGGCTCACTAGTTGTTTCACTGAGCTCAAGCAAAAGGCTTAGTAAAGGCAAGACCAAGAGTAGAAATAGGAAAGTCATCTAACAGTAAGGAAATTAAGCCAGCCTTTTATTCTCTCCCTTCCCATCTGGTCAATTTACCCGGGCTTACCTGACTGATGAAGCCTGTGGAGGAACACTGCCTGACCCAAAGACTAAATTTCCTCTTTTTTCTCTTGCGCAGCTCTCGCTCTGTACATGTAGCAATGAACACTGGGTCCTCATCAATCAGGGGTTCATGTAGCACCTGCCAACATAATGAAAAGAGGAATCATAGAATTTTAAATAGTACAGAGATCTCTGGAAGCATCCCACCCAATGCAACAATCTCCACCACAGCCTCCCTGACATGAATACCAATACTTAAATGCTCTTGACTACCCTCTTTTTTTTTCACTTTACATTTTATGTTTTCCCAATTACATATAAAAACAGCTTTTAACATTCACTTCTTAAAATTTTGAGTTCCAAATTATCTTCTTCCCTCCTCCCCTCCCCACCTTCATTGAGAAGGCAAGCAATTTGATACAGGTTATACATGTGCAGTCACACAAAATATATTTCCATATTAGTCATGTGAAAGAAAACATAGACCCTTCCCCCCCAAAAAAAACAAGAAAAAGAAAGTAAAAAAAAAAGTTTGCTTTGATCTGCATTCGGACACCATCTATTCTTTCTCTGGAGGTGGATAGCATTTTGCATCATAAGCCCTTTGGAATGGTCTTGGATCACTGCATTTTGGAGAATATCTAAGTCATTCACAGTTAATCATTATATGATATTACTGTTACTGTGTATATTCTTATCTTGGTTTTGCTCACTTCACTTAGCATCAGTTCATTCAAATCTTTCCAAGTTTTTCTGAAATCCAACTGCTCATCATTTCTTACAGCACAATAGCATTCCATTACAACCATACCACAATTTGTTCAGCCATTCCCCAACTGATGGACATCCCCTCAATTTCCACTTTTTTGCTACTACAAAAAGAGCTGCTATAAATATTTTTGTACACATAAGTTCTTTTCCTTTTTTTAAAAAAATCTCTTTGGGATACAGATCTAGTAGTGGTATTGCTGGGTCAAAGGCTATGATTTTCTAGCCCTTTGAACATGGTTCCAAAGTGCTCTCCAGAATGATTGGATCAGTTCACAACTCCACTAATAGTGCATTAGTGTCCCAATTTTCCCATATCCTCTCTAACATTTGTCATTTTCCTTTCTGTTTTATTAGCCAATCTGACAGGTATAAGAAGGTACCTCAAATTTGTTTTAATTTCAGTTTATCTAATCAATAGTGATTTAGAGTATTTTTATATAACTATAGATAGCTTTGATTTATTTGAAAAATATATCCTTTGACCACTTATCAATCGGATGACTTGTATTGGGAGATGACTTGTATTCTCATAAATTTGATTCAGTTCTCTATATATTTGAGAAATGAGGCCATCGTCAAAGAAATTTGCTCTCATAGTTCTCACAGGTATGATTACTGTGTATTTCCCTCCCTCTTATTTTTCCCATTTACCCTTTTCTTTCTCTCCTTTTACCCTGTCCCTCCTCAAAAGTGCTTTGCTTCTGACTACTGCTTCCCCATATCTACCCTCCCTTCTATCAGCCCCACCTCTTCTCCTCTTACTTCCCTGTAGGGTAAGATAGATTTCTATACACAACTGAGCATGTATGTTATTCCCTCTTTGAGTCAATTCCAATGAGAGTAAGGTTCAAGTATTGTTGGCCACCCCCACCTTTCTGTCCCCTGTAAAAACTCTTTCACACCTCTTTTATGTGAGATTATTTACCTTATGCTACATCCCACTTCCCCCTTCTCCCTGTTCATTTTTAGATATCATCCTGTCATAATCAACTCACATTCATACCTTCCGTCAACATATACTGCTTCTAATTGCCCTAATAATGATAAAGCTCTTAGTAGTTACAAGTATCATCTTCCCATGTAGGAATGTAAACAATTTAATCTTATTGAATCCCTTATGATTTCTTTTTCCTGTTAACCATTTTGTGTTTCTCTTGAGTCTTATACTTGAAAGTCAAATTATCTATTCAGCTTTGGTCTTTTCATCAGGATTGCTTGAAAGCCTTCTATTTCATTAAATATCTATTTTTCCCCCTGAAGGATTAAACTCAGTTTTTCTGGGTTTGATGATCTCTTAAGATAGTCTCTTCTATTGTTAGAAAGCCTTAATTCTTAGAAAGTCCTTTCTTAGATTGAGCTCTTATTTATTTCCCTATAATTTCAATCTAGTTCTGCCCTCTGGAGTTGAATACAATCAGCTTAATCCCTTATCATTAGGTCACACCACATACATGAAAGCAGCTGTCAAGTTCTCCTCAAATTTTCACAGAATCAGAGTTTTAGAGTTGGAAAGAAATTTCAGGAACCTCTAATCTGACTCACACTCAAAAGAGAATTTCCAATACAACACAATAATAATAGCTAGAAATAATATAGTACTATATAGTTTGTAAGGCTATTTTTAAAGCATATATTATCTCATCTTTTGGAATATTATTGTGCCATAAGAAATGACCAGCAAGATGGTTTCAGAAAAACCTGGGAAGACTTATATGAACTCATGCAAAGTGAAGTGAGCAGAACAAAGATAACATTGTATACAGCAATAGCAACATTGTAACAATAATCAACTGTGGAAGACTTAGCTACTCTAGTCAATACAATGATCCATGACAATTCTAAAGGATTCATGAGCGAAAATGTTATCCACCTCCAGAGAAAGAAGTGATGAACTCTGAATGAACTCTGAAAACATGTGAAGCATATTTTCTTTCACTTTATCTTTCTTGCCTTTCCACCCCCTACATGACTAATATGGAAATATTTTTTGCATGACTTCACATATATAATGGTATCATATTGCTTGCCTGAAATGGTCCATGAAAGAGGAAGAGAATTTAGAACTTGATATAAAAAAGAATATTAAAAAAACGGATGAGTGAATATAAAGAAAAAACTAGTTATCATACATAAGGTATAAGAAATATCATATAGATGATGTTGAATAAAGGAAATTGAAAACTGGAAAACAAAATAAAAGAAATATTTCACTTTTTCCTAAAAACAATCCTGGAAAGTAGGTGCTTTATTATTATCCCTATTTTGCCGATGAAGAAACTAAGGCAGACAGAGGTTAAGTGACTTGTTCAGGGTCACACAACTAATAAATATTTGAGGTTAGGTTTTAATTCAGGTCTCTGTGACTTCAGATCCAATACTCTCTCCCTTTCATCACCTAGTTGTCTTTACCTGATAGGTAGTCATCTAACCTTTGCTTGAAGACTTTAATAAGGGGAAACATACTACTTCCCTCAGTAGATCATCCCATTTTTGGACAACTCTATTAACTCAATTGTTTGGATAGCTGGATAACTCTAACTTGATTATTAGTAAGTTTTTCCTGACTTCAAACATAAATTTGCTTCTTTATAACTTCCATCTATTATTCCTGGGTCGGCCCTCTGATGCCAAATCAAATACATATAATACCATTTCCCTGTGACAGCCTCTCAGATACTTAAAGGCAGTGATCATACCTCAACACCTCATTTCCTTGAGTTTTTTCAAAACTCCAAATTCAACTCTCTTAATTTCTTCCAACTGCTCCGCGTATGGCATAGACTAGGAGCCCTAGATACCATCCTGGTCATGTAGCCTATATCTCTTTTTCTTTTCTGCAAAGGTATGAGATGTTCTCCTGTTTTATGCTCAATACCCCCAGTTCCCCCAACTATTTCCTTATTCTCCCCTGTTAGGGCTCCAGTTGCTAATACCTGTCTGTAAACATGGCATCCAGAAATGGGAACACTACTTTGAGCACACAGGGTACAGACAGGAATTACTTCTTGTCATCTGAGCACTATATTTCTATTAATGCTGTATAAGATTGCATTTCTTGACTGATGGCCTACTCTAATGATTCATTGTGGCATGGAGGGGACCCTGAGATCACAGAGGCTATGTATACTATCAGGGCAAAGCTCTAGCAGACCCCAGCAGAGCAAAGAGATTGAGTGAGGTCCCAGAAACAGCCTGGATATTTACCATCCAAGGACCAACCTGGGTAAGTGGACCCGTCTCATTGGGTTCAGCCACCAGAAGGCTGGTCACCAAATGATTCACTTTTTCAAAAACAACAACTTGTGAATACTGCCTACGCAAGTGGAGGAGGAGGCATAAAATAAGACAGACATTTTTGGGCACAGCCAACACGAGGATTTGTTTTGTTTGACTATATTTATTTGAGGTGTACGTGTAGGGAGGAGGAGAGGCAAGCACAGCATTGGTGAGTAGTGATATTGATACAAAAAAAATAAGACAAGAAAACACTAGTGAAACATTAAAAGACAATGGAAGAGAGGAAAAGGATGTTTGAAGGAGATACAGATAAGCTAGTCAGTTTTGTTACTTTCAGGGGCAGCTAGGTGACAAAGTGGATAAAGTGCTAGGCCTGGAGTCAGGAAGATCATCTTCTTGACTTCGGATCTGGCCTGAGACACTTACTAGCTGTGTGACCCTGGCCAAGTCACTTAACCCTACCTGCCTCAGTTTCCTTATCTGTAAAATGAGTTAGAGAAGGAAATGGCAAACCACTCCAGTATTGCCAAGAAAACCTCAAATGGGGTCATGATTGAAAAATGACTGAATAACAATTTGTTACTTTCATGTTAAATTTAATATGCACTTGAAAAAATACTATGTAATACAAATTCATAGTTGCATGTAAAATATTTTTGTTTATAATAATAGAGTTCAGGTATATGTTATTATGTATCATATGGACATAAAATAATATTTTTATTATTTTACTCTTCATATATTAAGATGCTCATTTATAAAATTATTTTTTAAAACATTTTGAAAGTGGATGGTGTTACAATTCTTCAACCCTAAACAAATACTACACTTACACTTATTAAAAGATTCTTCAGGTACTGAAGTTGGGTCACATTAGTTTTATTTTGGTTTTTGAGCAGCCTCATCAACAACATTGGCCCCTTGTAGTTAGCTAAACTACCACAAGTCTTTGTCACATCAACAACTTTAAAGACAGGACTGTTTTATTCCATACTCACAAAAGGCAAGAGAGTAACAAGCCCCGGCATAGCCTGAAAGCTCCTAGCCAGCTTCTCTCACTTCTGCCTTCACATACACTTCAGCCCCTCCAGACTCATAAACCATTTACAGCCCCACTTGGAACCACTCAAG